ACTTTTTTTATACTTCTGATAATTCCGAATCTAATGTTAAATAATTTGAAAATTCGGATCTATATATATATATATATATATATCGATTTATACTTGGCTTCGGTGTTTATAACCACCAGGATCGATGGAATCGTTTAGATGTCATGGGTGGCCTTTTGACGTTATGACCTATAACAGAAATATGTTCACTATATCATCTCTGAATCCGTTGATCCATGAATGGAGTACTTGTGTTAAGATTTTGCATGTTTGGCACGAACTCGACGATGTTAGTAATACACTAAACCTTATTTTGATGGATAATCAGGTTGGTAATTCTTCAAAATAAACTGTAATCAGTATTTGTGTTAAGATTTTGTATTGAGATGTTTTCATGTTTTGTAATTAAATCAGGGTACGAAAATCCGAGCCGTCATTCGCGAAAGTTTGGTAACTAGGTTTTCGCCATTACTGATTGAGGGTCTCTGGATTATATTAAGAAAATTTTCGTTAATCCCTGATGTCGACTTAGTCAGAACTACTCCACATAGATTCAAGATTAAGTTCTCTTCTGATACATGTGTCGAATATCTTAATTACCTCGCATGTGATTATGATTACTTTAACTTTGCGAGATTTCGTGATATTCGTACGGGTATAAGTAACCCGTATATCTGTGTAGGTGAGATTATATTCGTTTCTCTTCTGGTTAGATTTTTCCCATAACTACTCTAATCATTACGTTGTATTGTTTTCTTTAGATTTGGTCGGGAAGGTTGATAATGTGAATGACATACAACTCGTGCAGATGGTGGGCTCTTCGAAAGATATTTTTGTGGTTTATTTTGACCTAATTGATACAGAGTATTGATTCTTAGTCTTATACAGATATATAATTTTGTTTTCTCTCAACGAATTTGTCATAATAATGTCAACTGTGATATAAATTTGTAGGCATACGCGTTTGAGTATCAGACTGACCGGTGAAACCGCCGTTAGATTTCATAGACAGTGGAAAGTTAACACCGACGATGTCGTGATTTGTATCATCAGATTTGCCAAGATAGTGGCTACGTCTAATCGTATGTGGCATTGCACAAACATTGGTTGCTCTAAAATTATGGTGGATGCTCCGCTGCCTGGTGTTGTAGAACTAAAAGAATGGTGGGCTGATTACTGCGGGAGTCCTAGGACGGGTGTCAAAGAAGCTCGATTGGCCTAATTTTGTATGACTCTGTATTTTTCGTTTGGGTGGTTTATTTTCAATTTACGGATTACAGAGTCGGCATTTGTCATCGGTTTTAACATTTCGAAAGATTGTTAGACATTTCGCTTTTAGTGAGTTTTGGTAATTTAATCTAAACTTAATTTATTAATCTTATGGATAAATTCTATATCGTTTAATCAATATTCGTTTTTGTTAATTTTCTGATTTAGTTTTTAATATAAGAATTTTCCATTTTGTAATTCGGACCGTTAGATCGAGCTAAAAAAAACCAGATAAAAACTACAACCATCCGATCTTAACTTTGACACTTACCTCTGCCTTCCCTATTATAATAATCAACTTTATTTGCGAGCGTCAAATTAACATCTTATTAGACGCGAGTAATATTGGCCGTCCGATCAACACGTGTCTATAAAAAACCTGGGCCAGTCCATTAATCTCTTTGAATTCATGGTCCATTCGTTTATATAGTCGGGCTTTGGGATCAATTAGTTCGGGCTTTGATACATTTGATCCCCGTCGCCGTCCGATTGAGATCTCCTCTCATTCACTACCGTCTGATTTGGTTACTAACATGGTCAAACCTTATTAAAGAATGTACTACTTTCCAAAATACAAAATAAGATAATAAGTATATTTCTATATTTATATAAAATAGTATGTAGATCCATAATATAAAATCGTAAATACAGAATTATCATTATGCGATAAATACAGAAATATTCCAAACAATCTTGATTTGTAATTGTCTAGATAATGGCAGATCTCTATATTTTTCTTAAACCATAACAAACTGTACAACATGCTCTTCTTCTATAAATACTGATTGTGTCCTGGTCGAAAATTGAGACTTCGTTATAGTTGTATATT